AATTTATAAGTATAAAAAGTGATTACTGAAAATGAAAAGAGAAATTGCCAGTTTAATTTTGGTGATTATCAGTAGACTTCAATTACTCTTATTTTAATAAATATGGAAAAAGTTGGCAAAATATAAATGCATTATAAACTTATACTTTTAAAAGAATGGATCATTACACATAAACTGCTTTACTTTAGAAGCAAATGAATAGGCTTAAATGCTCTACATTTACATAAATTATCCAAACAATAGTGTGGCTTTTTAAGTTCATAAAACTTTTTACAACATATTTAGATTTAATGATGGAGACATTATGTGACAATGTGCACTCTGCCAAAGTAATCATGAGCTATGGAGAATGTTGTCGATCAAAGCTCTTAAGAGAAAAAGAACTATTAGCTTTAATTGCTAAAGAAGCTATTTTGAGTTATGTGTAGCATGGCAGTATTAAAAGTGGTGAACAAGAAGAAAGACTTATGTTTGAGGCTGCTCAGTAATTTGTTTCACTGGTAGGATTGGTATGAAGTGAATAAACCATTGTTTTCCAAGGCCTTAGGGTATTTTCTGTAGCTGCAGCAAAACAAGCTCCGACTATTGAATAAATCCATTTCAAAATCTACATACTCCACTTTAGATCCAAATCCAAATTTATCTAATCTCTAATCTAAAATTTAGCTCTTTCACCTTTTAAAAACCTATAAATAATTCTTCAAAAATATTTATATCTTGGTAATTAATAAACGCAAACATAAACCCTATATTGTTCCAGACACATAACTGCATAATCACCACTACTAAAGGTATGCAATACGCTCTCCTTTTAGAATTCCCAAAATAAATCATAGCTATGGTCACATTAGCCATCCACATAAGAAAGAAAAACCCAAGATTTAATTACGTGCTTTTTAAAGGATCTAGATCCGAGCACTATTTATGTTAAAGTTTGTATTCTTTGTTTTGGGGGGCTGTCCTGTGCATTGTTGGATGCTGAGCAGTACCCCCATCCTCTACTGACTAGATGCCAGCAGCAACTCCCACAAGCCATGTCAAGCCAAAATGTCTCCAGATACAGCCAATGTCCCACGGAAGGTGGGGGGAGGGGGTGTGCATGGGCAAAATTGTCTCCAGTTGGAAACTACTAATCTAGGATATGCATCTTCAATTAAATTAAAATTATATTATGGATACACTGCTTCAGCAACCTCACCATTCACAACTTGCAAGCGATCTGCAATGGGCTGGGAATAAAGGTGTCAGTGTGATAATCCCTTGCTCCATGTAGGAAGCCCTCATTAGCACCCCGTTCTCTTCTCTGCCCCAAGGCACTCAAATGTTCTTAAGAGTCTGGAGAAATTGAGAGTAGCTTCTCTCCACTGAAGGTAGGAAACACTTACTATTGGTCAGTAAGTCGATCAACAGTAGCCAATCTGTTTGGCAGCTCATCTGACAATACTAAGAGGTAGCCTCATTTCGGGGATATTGCTCTCTGTATGGTACACATTCAAAGTTTTAAACAAAGAGTAGCAGAAACAAAGTGGGAGAAATGTGGCAGTGTAGCAAGTTTATGGATGACCTCCTATGTGCTATGTGAGGGGATACAGTAGTGCAAAAGACAAGAAAAAACTGAGTTAGATGAGTAAAATATATAGTAGGTCAGATTTTAATGCATGAGAAAAAATAAAGTTGGGATGGGGTGCTACAGTCTGAATGTTTGTATCCTCCAAAATCCACGGTGACACGCTCACCCCCAGGGTGACAATGGGTGGAGATGGAACTTTTGGGAGGTAATTAGGTCATGGGGCTGAGTGAGCCCTTGTGAATTGGATTAGTGCTCTTTATTTTTTTATTTATTTGTTTATTTTTGAGACAGAGTCTCACTGTGTTGCCTGGGCTAGAGTGCCACGGTGTCATCCTAGCTCACAGCAACCTCAAACTCCTGGGCTCAAGCGATCCTCCTGCCTCAGCCTCCCAAGTAGCTGGAACTACAGGCATGTGCCACCATGCCTGGCTAATTTTTTCTATGTATTTGTAGTTGTTCGATTAATTTCTTTCTATATTTAGTAGAGATGGGTCTCGCTCTTGCTCAGGCTGGTTTCAAACTCCTGAGCTCAAACAATCCGCCCGCCTTGGCCTCCCAGAGTGCTAGGATTACAGGCGTGAGCCACCTCGCCTGGCCTGGATTAGTGCTCTTTAAAAGAGGCCCCAGAGGCCGGGTGCGGTGGCTTGCGCCTGTAATCCTAGCACTCTGGGAGGCCGAAGTGGGTGGATTGCTCAAGGTCAGGAGTTCGAGACCAGCCTGAGCAACAGTGAGACCTCGTCTCTACTAAAAAACAGAAAGAAATGATCTGGACAACTAAAAATATATATATAAAAAAAATTAGCCGGGCATGGTGGTGCATGTCTGCAGTCCCAGCTACTCGGGGGGCTGATGCAGAAGGATCGCTTGAGCCCAGGAGTCTGAGGTTGCTGTGAGCTAGGCTGACGCCACGGCACTCTAGCCCGGGCAACAGAGCAAGACTCTGTCTCAAAAAAGAAAAAAAAAAAAAAGAGGCCCCAGAGAAAACTCTCATCCCTTTCAGTCTGTGAGGTTATAGTGAAAAGATGGCATCTACAAACCAGAAAGCAGGCCCTCACCACACACAGACTCTGCCTGTACCTTGATCTTGGACTTTCAGCCTCCAGAACTGTCAGAAATAAATTTCTGTTGTTCATAAGCTATCCAGTTTATGGTCTTTTGTTATAGCAACCTGAACGAACTAAGATATAGGGCAATATAAAATATCAGTAGTTAAGAGGGGGTTAAAATGGGTGCCAGGGAAGGGCCAAAAAACCAGTAAAAGTATTTTGAAAAAGAAGCATAAAGTACTGTGTAATTTATTTAATATCTGGAAATATTTCCTTTAGCTAGAAAATTGTATATAATTAATCCATATTTAAGATAAGTAAATATATTCAAACAGCAATATTACTACAGAACTGCAAAACCAAGGTCAAGTATTGTCTCCCTAAAGAATGAGATTATTTTGGCACACAGTGGCTTAGAAAGGACACTGCTGTGATTTATCTCAATATACTGACTGTGAAAAACAATGAAGTAATGCAATGCATCTTCCAAAAAAAGGCTTTTTAAGTAATGAAATTCCTCTTTTGCAATTACATAAACTAGAATTCTATTCATCTTTTATATTCTTACCTCATATTTGATCTTTGTCAACTCAGGTCTAATGAGCAAGATGGAATTTTGTATTTTGGAAATAAAATGGCTTAAATAATGGTCCAAAAAATTTCTATGTTGATATTCACATCAATGTTATAAAGGAGCAGTATGGTCAAAAGAAAAAGTTATAAGGTCCTGAATAAGCTACTCATTTAAATCACCCATTATTTGACATTATTTGATAGTGATACTCCATACCACCACGAATGTAGCTAGTAGCAAAAACAAGAAGACCAATATCCCATAATATAGAAGATTCAATTTTAAACTCGTTTTAAAATTCTTTCAGAGGCCAGGCACGGTGGCTCACACCTGTAGTCCTAGCACTCTGGGAGGCCGAGGCGGGCGGATCGTTTGAGCTCAGGAGTTCAAGACCAGCCTGAGCAAGAGCGAGACCCCGTCTCTACTAAAAAATAGAAAGAAAGTACTTGGACAGCTAAAAATATATAGAAGAAATTAGCCAGGCATGGTGGCACATGCCTGTAGTTCCAGCTACTTGGGAGGCTGAGGCAGAAGGATTGCTTGAGCCCAGGAGTTAGAGGTTACTGTGAGCTAGGATGACGCCGTGGCACTCTAGCCCGGGCAACACAGTGAGACTCTGTCTCAAAAAAAAAAAAATTCTTTCAGAAATTCTTAAAACATAAAACTTTAAAGAATAACACCAGTTCTCTTATAATGCATTCTCCATAACACTTTTTTCTTAGCAAGAACAGGAAAGAGATCAAACTATATACAAAATAGAAATTGATTTCTCCGAAGTGTAGTAATCCTAAAACTGCCCAGTATTGTTTCTTGGCTGAATGTTCAGCATTCATTGTAAATGAAAATCTAATAGGAAGAAACTATACATTACACCATAGGGTAGCTTAGCTTTCGTGTTACATTTCAAAAGGTCTTGCTCTCTCTATCATCCAAATGATAATTCTGTGCTTCACAAAGTTAATATCCAGTTCACTGGAAGTTTCTTTGTAAAAGGAAATAGTCACTAAATAAACAGTCAAAGCTCTTTACTGTCGTATTTTTTTCTTTCCCCTTCGTGGCCACTGAATCCTGAGGCAGGGATTGCTTACTTTCCATTTCTGTGGATGACCTTACCGAAAGACGTTTTCAAGGCCTAGTTCCTTAACATTATCAAAGAACGTTCTCATTAAGTATGTTAAATGCTGTTTCAGAATTATCTGTTTCACGATTCTTAGACATCTAGCAAGTCATTTCTTCCTGATGGTAGTCCCAAACACATTTATTACCTAGACAGTAAGTCAGGCCCTGTGCTAAGTCTGGCACAATGCATAAAGAGATCACAGTCCCATAATAAAACGTGCAATCAATTTCAGCAACATGAAAGGACCCATAATAGAGAAAAGTATAAGTTGTTTCGGGAGCAGAGCAAATACCAACCTCTGCCTGAGAAGGCTGACAGATTGACTCTTCCCTAAAAAATGATATATGCAATTCTACCCTCTTATAGCTCAAAACTCTTTCTCTGTGCTCATCATTTTTCTGTATCACCTTCATCAGTCAACAAAGCACCTGCCCCAATCACAAACCCCCAATAGGCAAACCTTGTGGCTTCGGACTTGCAGTCGTGTGTTTCGCTGGTGTTTTCCCATTTATTCCCTGAGCCTCTTCATCAGATACATTTTGATCAACCAGCGTGGTTGTGCTGGTTGTGGGACAAAGTGGAAGGATAGTGACCTCTGGACAGGTACTGCTGCCTGTGAGAGTTCAAAAAGAAAGGACAGGTAAGAATGGAGGCAGAGCACAACTCGGTTTTGTGGGTTAAATTTCTCCTGACCCCATAAAACAAAAACAGTCACAGTTATAAGACTAAGCATAGAAATAAATTTCCCATGTGAGCTGGACTTGACAAAGGGCTTTCCTGGGAAAGAGCTCATTCCATGTGCCTTAGGAACCTTATAATGCATGCTGACAGAAGATTGCCGCACACCCTCCTCCCTTCCTAGCAGGGCCACTGAAAGGGCAGAATGCAGCTGCCGCAATGTAGGTGAAGGAGAGGACAGGAAGCCCCCGCACTAATCTGTTAAAAGTGTTCCTTTCCACTGTCCAGTCAGTCGCCAATCATCCAGCAACTCAAAAGAACAAAGCAGGAAAGCACCAACGTGACAGCTGACCTAAAGACTCCAGAAGAATGGCTCTGTTAGAAAAGTACAAATACACACGGGCGCCTGCATGCGCACACACAACCTCTCGCCCGCTAGCTTACTCGGCCTACACATCAACATCCATGACATAAGCTAGTGGTGACCCCAGTTTTCCGAAGAAAGAATCGTAAGCTTGTACAGATAACACAGCCATGTTTGTTTAGAACTCAAAACCCCAAAATATTCTCTAAAACAACACTGAAATACATCATGAGACATAGATGATGGGAAAAGATTAAATTTTTTGTTCAATTTCGGATGTAAGAAGTTATATGTTGAATTTCAGAGACTTTTTAGAGTCATAAGTCAGAGGCTTTTTAGAATTATAAGTCAGTATTTTCTCTTTATGATGCATTTTAAATCTTCTTCTCTTTTGGTTGACCTGGTGATATTGACCATACTGGACTCTGCTTAAGAGAAAATAAAATTTCCACCAGGAAGTTTACCGTAACTGAATCAAAGTATGCAATTTACGGAACTATCATTTGGTTAACAAAGAGTTTCATTTTTATAGACTCCAAATATTTAAGAGAGAACTATTAAGAGATTTTTTTAAAAAGCTTTATTATTCAAAACAAGGAAAGCTAATTTTAAAAAACCCAATCAACTGTCTGTTGAGTCAAAAAACTCCCTCTAATCCAGCTGATTATTAAATAATATTGATTAAAAACAATACTGCTTTATTTTTTGTGCTCCCCTCAAAATTTATCTTGTTAAAACAGACTTTAGAAAGTATTAACAGTTACAAGGGTTGTGTGAGAAGTTATTTGAGAGCCAGTGCTAAAACAGAAATTAAATGGGTTTTCATCAGACACCCTTCTGCTAAAATGGCATATCTATCAGCTGAATCAAGCATTGTTTAGCAAAATATAACAAAGGTCTAGAAAACAAGAGTTATGCAAAATTATTTCACAAAATATTAAACTTATAAAGAAATAAAAGCTCAACTCTAAATGTATGCGCTTATTTACCTTCCTAGAAAAACTGTGTGAGGGAGGCAGAGTATATCCCTAAAATCCACAGCCTATCATGCAATCACTTAGCTTTCTACGGGGATTTGTATGTTTTTTCCACGGTGATCCCAAGAATGGCTTAGTATCATAAAAGCCACCTGCTAGGGTCTAGTGAAGGATGGCTTTGGGGCAGAAAAGTAAAGCATCATAACTCAACTACACACCAAAGGAAGAAACTGTAACATAATCGTAAAATGAAATCAAGAATGCAGATTTAGCATCAGTTTATAGGGGAAAGCAACAATAAAACAATAAAAAGAGGGCGGTTAATAGGTTAAATGAGAAAACAAATTGAGCCTTTAAAAAACAGATCACCACTATTACATATTAAATTATGAAACAAGTTTAATAATTAGTCTATTTAGAGAAAAAACATGTCTTACATAAATATTAACTTGAAATTGAAAACTATTTAGAACTTAACTTCTAGATAGCAAACTTCCAGGGTATGGTGGGTTTTACAAGAGTCATATTTATAGAAAATGTCTTTCACGAATGTGCCAAAATACCTGCAATAAGAGATCAACTATGCATCTAATTTCTTATAAATCCATCAAAGTCATGATTACAGATCTTTTGCCAGTGGAAAACTTCATTTCAGATAATTGTTTAAAACACGTCTCCAAACTTCATCCACTATCACAAAAGCATGAAAACATTGTGAATGACACAGAGAATATTTACATTTTTAAAGGGTTGTTTAAAAAAACAAAAAAAGCAATACAAATATACAACAGAGATCATTTGTGGCTGCAAGGCCAAAAATATTTACTATTTGGTCCTTTACAGGAAAAGTCCTGCTGACCACTGGTATAGGTCAAACATACCATGGCAAAAGAAGTTTGTCTAAAAGAAGCACTATTCCATTAAACACTTCATCTCCTAACATCTTGGATACTAGCAATAAAAAGTAAATCTTTTTGCTTGTTTATGACTCACTCAGGCTACTCATATTAGGAAATAGTCCTTATTTGCATAACAGGGAATTGAAACCAAAATTGTAATCAGACAGTCTACCGACTCAGGAAATTTTACATTAACTATAGGGGCTGTTAGATTCCAAATTATCAGGAACCAATAGTAGTGACTGACAGTTATAAACAGTTATGTCAGGCACAGATGTAACTAATTACAGTATGTTAGCATGGGCAGGGGAGGTGTTCCATTTAAATACTATCTCCTCTTAATGACTGGTAATCTTTTTAGCCCTTGATACTACCCATTTTGCACTCTGTTTTCGGGTTACTCACTTATGCTTGCTGGGTCATATATCCTGCAGGAAATACCTAGACATATACTAACCACAGACATTCTCAATCATCCCCATCTTTTGGCTGCATAAGCCTCCCTTTTCCAACTGGAGAGGTTGCTAACATGGCTTAACTTTACCTGTCCTTTTTGCATTTCGGTAGTCATGCATTATGCCCTGACCGGTTAGGGTAACTTTGGACTACTATTAATATTTACAGAACTGTTTGGGGCTCTCATATTCTACCAAAACATTATTGAATGGCTCTTTCACATTTTAAGGTTGGGCTCTCTCTTTGGCCATCCATTCCAAAAGAAAGTCCACTCAGTTCTCCGATTCTTCAGGCCTGACCTCTTGTCACCAGTGTCTATGACCTCAGATCACATCTTTATGGTCTTCCTTATGTCCCTGGTTATACCACCACATTTGTCCACACATTTCTCCCAACTGCACCAAGTCTAGCCCAGAGGATCTAGATGGACTCCAGCCCCTGGGACAAGAGGATCTCTTGGATTTAAGAAGGCAGAAGTAGTTTTCTAGGGAAGATGATCTTTTTGGGTACAAATTGTCCAGAAGGATAAAGATACTTAAAGTAAAACAAAATAAAAGCCACTCTACTTTGAAATAACGTTAGATTTAGAGAGGAGTTGTACCCCAATCCCCCTAATGTTAGCATCTCATATAACCATGGTATATTTATAAAAACATTGGTACAATACTAAACTATGGACTTTATTGAGATTTCATGAATTTTTCCACTAACATCCTTTTTCTGTTCAATCCAGGATATCAAGTTCCATTTAGTTATCACTGTCTCCTTAGTTACTCCAATCTGTGAGAGTTACTTAGACTTTACTTGGTTTATATGACTTCGGAACTTTTGAAAAATACTGGTCAGGTATTTTGTATTATATCCCTCAAACTGGGATTCTCTGTTATTTTCTCATTATTGGACTGGGGTTATGGATTTGGGAGAATATCACAGAGGCAATGCACGCATCTCACTTCATTTTATCACTGCCTGACAACAACATCATTATCATGTGACGTTAACCTTGGTCACTTGGTAAGGTGGTGTCTGCCAGGTTTCTTCACTGTAAAACATTCTAGTTATTATAAGACATTTTGCAATAGTCTTTTCCTATCATAACTTTAAAAACTCCATTTGTCCCCTAGATTGCAGATCATATCTCCCAGGTGCTAGCTAAAATACCTAGATTAAGAAATCAACTGCCTTTTTTTTTTTTTTTTAAATGAAGTCCTTACAAAACTCATGGTTTACAATTGTGTGGGAGGATGGCTCAAGCCCAGGAGTTTGAGGTTACAGTGACCTACGATCACATCACTGCATTCTAGACTGGGCGACAGAGCAAGACCCTGTGTCTTAAAAATAAATAATAAAATAAAATAAAATTCTCCAACGGCCCCACATTTTACTGAGAGTAAAATCTCAAGGCCTTACAGTGATATGCAGGCTCTACATGATCCAGCCTTTGTCCTGGTACCACTCTGACCTTATCACCTACTTTATCACCCCTTCTCATTCTACTGCACTCATGCTGGCTCCCTGTTGTCACTGAACAGGCCAAGCCGCCTTAGGGCCTTTTGTCTAGCTGTTCTCGGCTTGAATGCTCTTCCCCCAGATTATTTCCTTCAAATATTGGCTCAGATTGCATCTTGTCAATACGGACTACACAGATCACCCTATTTAGTATAACTGCTATTCCTACCATGCTTTGCAGTTTATTTTTTTCCATAGCATTTAGCATCTTCTACCAAAGTACATTATTTATTTTGTCTACTTTCTCTTTTCCCTGGTTAGAAAGTAACTCCGGGGAGAAAGCAATCTTTGTTCTGACATATCCCAGAAACATCACCTGTCACACAGTAGATGCTCAATACCTATTTGTTGAATAAATGAATTCTAGAGACATGTTTTCTAAATTCCAGCCATAAGGAAATACGTAGAGCCCAATCTATACAAACTTTTAACTATTTCCATTTTTATCTAAAATCTGAAATATTCAAGGTTATTTCTACATAAATCCTAAATATTCAGAAGAAAAAAGTAAAAAGGTTTGTACTTAAATAACTTTCTTTACAACCTAGAAGGAGATTTCTAAACATCTGGAATTGTGAAACTATCCAGATGTCTGTCTCGAGGAAAATAGCAGCAGCAAAAAACATTCAGCAACTCACTGAATGTTTATTATAACCTGTAACTTTAATCACATTTACTAGAATCACTAAATAAAATGCACTATAGGCTGCTAATACTTTATACAT